AGCATATGGAAGGTTGTATGCTGTTTCTTGAAGAGTATTCCTCATCTGTGAGAGGGGATATATCTTCTAGCCATACACCTCATGGGATCAAAACTCATGAATTCTACCAGAAATGCATATATAGTGTCTCCCGAGAGATGATCTCTTGTTTGAACAGAGAAAATAGTACTGATTTTCATGAAGAGCAGTGTGGACAATCATGCAAATACCAGTTTGGAGATGGCCAACAGTAGATTTGAATGACTAGAAACTGCTCGGAGGTGCTCTGATTTCTTGTTCTCTAGAGTTGTGAAAGTACCTGAGATATGGGGAAACAACTAAGGCAAACTGTGGCTTCTCACAGATCTTGCTGGTTGAGGGCTTTATGTGCAGGTTCAAAAATGTGACTTTACTTTCATGAAACTGGTGCCATTGGAAATGCCTGCCCCACAGCAGGCAGCTGTTGTCTCTTGCTCCTAGGTGAACTTGGTTGCCTGGAAACCATTGCCTCACTGTTTGGGTTTTCCAAGAATGTGTGGCAAGCGTGTTGGTCAGCAACTGTGTAGTGAGTTGACGTGCAAGTTGAGTGTGTCAGCCCTGTCAAAGCACTAGGCAGAGCTCTCATGGTAACAAAGACCACCATGAATTTTTGGAATGCTGTGGAGAGGTTTAATGACTAGTTAATATTATAGTATTTATTGTGGATATGCTTACACTTGGCTATGTTAGTTTTTTCTGGTAGTTATTTGCTGATTATTTATTTGCTAGCTTAACTGCATATATACACTTGCACGAACTATTTTGTAATTGTAGAATGACCAGTACAAAGGGAAGAGGGACTTTGACTCCTTAAAGGAATATGTGGATTCCCAACTACAGAGCTCTGGGAAAGAGCCACCAGCAGATAAACCCGCTGAAGCCCCGCAGCCACCCGCAGAACCCACCCATGTTGAGGTAAGTGCTCCTGCACTCTGCAGCAATGTTATAAGTGTTTGAACTGTTTAAGCAGTCCATCCGAGTCTTCCATGAGTTTCTTTTTCTGATAGCTTGGCAATTTCTAAATGTGAACTGTACCAAATATTTTCCTGGTGATTTTTTTTACTAATTAATGGGTGGGATCAGACCATAATTCCTGGTGATACTTCTATTAACACAATGAATTGGAAAAAGAAAAAAAAAGGCTCCATTTTTATGGTTTATTTAGAGGAAGCGTGGTCTTTTTTGGTCTGCAGAACTGCTGACATCTTGGTGTGTATGACAGTATGTTTCATCACTGCGGAGGTGAATGTTTCTTGCAAGATTCTCACTTGAACTCAGGAAGATGGTACACGCTGCTAAGACCCTAAAAAAAGCCAGGGTTGTATACTTATAAACTATCTGCAGAAACAATAAACAAGCAAAGATTATAAAGACTGATCTAAAAGTGGCAAGGAGCGTGTCCTGTGACAGGAATACTTGGGTTGGGAGGCTTATTCTAATCCTGGCTGTAGGAGCTACAGGGGTTGCGAGTGTTGCCAAGGAATTGACAGGAATAACTTTGATCACCTTTGGATAGTTGTACTTGATGTTGTGTAGTTTTCTGTCTTTTATAATCACTTTGGCATTTCGTCTGCCATTTTTCTTGTAGATGAACATAAAATTGGTGAGGCTGAGAAATTACGGGTGGTTCTCAAACATAACATTTTAGGAAATGTGGAAAACTTAGTTCTACCTAGAAAATAAGGGGCAGTAATTTACACTCCCTTGTGATTTACACTCCCTTGTGATTTACACTCCCTTGTGATGTAGGATGAACTTACGTACTTAAAAAGTTTCAATATTATTATAAAAATACAGTTTATATGCAGCTTCTCACAGGAGAGTATTGCCCTTCCCAGTTACTTTTCAAACAGTGTTACTCATCTTGCATAAAGTGGCTTACCAAACATGATATATATATGCAATTTTCATACCCTTCAATTTTATATTTTTTTAATTGACCTCATATTTGGGAGATCCTAACAAGCTGGTGTTAGTACGGTGCAGAAAGTAATTAGTTGTCTTTCTATTTTTATAGAAATAATGCAAACCACATGTGATGCAGATTCCCACTTAAGCCTTGCATGCACCAGCACACATGCAAACCAGAATGGATCATGGGGGACTTTTTTGCCAAATAATAGTAGACACAGTGTAGGGCTTTACTTGTCTTTGCAGCTGTACAACACAGCTTTGGATGCCACTATGTTTGCTCATCTTCAGGCACCTTGGTTGTGGTTTTGTTCTCATGAATTTTGAAACAAGGTGCTCGCCCATGTAGCCAGCACACACTGGCAGCATTTACCATCAGCAGTCCACAGCTGGTGCCACAGGCAGCAAAAGCAGTGAGTTCAGTGTTGAGCCCCTATATGGTTTCACCCATGTCTTACATGGACCGAGTACTTGCCAGTCTTTTCACAGAAGCTGTACTACTATGTCCATGAGACTTCTCTCCTGCCAGACATGACTAAAATTACTCAATAATTATCCAGATGGATTAAGGCAGAGTGATCAACAGGTGCTCAGACTATGTGATTGCGTAAGATGTGTTTTCTTAAGAAACCAAGCTAAAATTGAGCTATCTGATACCAAAGATTTTTGTGGTTACCTAGTTCACATTGCTATTCTAATAGTAATCTATGGATCTTTAACATTTGTTTTACTGTATGGGTTGTGGGGACGATGATATTTATGGGGTTTTTAGATTTGGTATCTTAGACTGTAAGTGATGTCTGGAATATCTGATATCCATTTACGAAATTCAGAATAGAAGAATACTATTTACTGCTATCTTTTTTTTCCTTAATTTTTTGTAATTACTTAATAATTAGAAAGTGTAATTTCTAAATACTTCTTTAGAGGTTGTAACACTTCAACTTAATGAAATGACTTAATTTCATGAACTAACAGTTCTTTACAGAGATATTTAAAGGTACCAGGTAATTCGTGATTTCAATTTCTTTTTGGCTTCTCTTTATAAAACTCTTACTGTGTTCAAAGTTGAATTGGTAATACTATCGGTTGTGTTGTTGTTTTACGTTTATTTGAATTAGAAGCTTTTATAGGCATGAGATTTGTTTGGGGTTTTTTTTTGTTTGTTTTTTAATCCCTCCCACTCTTAAGGGTCTCACACAAAAAATGAAGTTTGTTACGGTTCTGTGCTCGCATGTGAGACTGTAAGCAGTGTGCTAGGCTCCCATTACTCCCATGCCTTCGCTCCTGATGTTATCAGGAGTAAAAATTCCTCCTGGCATCCATACGAGTGTGGTGTGGTGATGTCCTCGTGACAGGCAAATACGTGTTTCTTGTAAGAGTGGTTTTCTATGTATGCAACACAGGGATATAGCAGAGGGAGAACAGCTGTCAAGACATCATAGTATGTCTTGAATACCTCATTAAACTCTCAGATGGCCTTTATGTGCTCTAAGCCAACTCCTCGGGGCTGTTCCTTGAAACATTTGCATGACAGTGTATTATAATGAAGGTGAATTTTTTTCCCCAGCAACTAAAAATTTGGATACAGGCAAAGCCCTTGAGAACAGGGATGGTTTGTTTCTCCAATTATGGATGAGATTCAGTGTGAAATACACATTCCTCTACAGCTCTCCAGGGGAGGAATGTAGCTGAGGAGTGTGAGGTGTACTTCTGCTAGTCTTGTTTATATTGTCAATAATATTATCTTTTCCAGTTTGACTTTCCCTTTCAGGTAGCTAAAAGCTCATTTGGCTGATGTTGTGTATACAAAAGGTTTTGACTCCTTTTTGTTTGTTTTTTGAACAGGCAACAGTGCTCTCTCTCTCTGAAAAAGACTTTGATGCAACCATTGCTAGGGGGATCACATTTATTAAATTCTATGCTCCATGGTAAGTTCATACTTGTTGTTCAGGATTATTGCTGGCGTAAACTGTTGTTGCATTTAGGTCTTTGTGTGTAGTGCTGTATTTGTTGTCTGGATCTAAAGCATGAATTCAATGAAACTTGCATGCCATCTTTCTCATCCATTGCCTAGTCTCTCAGTCAATAGAAGGAAGCCTGGTGCAGGGGGAGAGATTAAAATTAATTGTATTTTGCTGTGTTAAAGATAACACATTTCTGATTTCATCACTAGCCATCCCATTAATGCAGTATATAAAATATAGAAAGATCTTTTGTTTGGGGTAGTAGGAGGTCACCATTACAAAGCAGCACAAGCAAATGCAACCCACAGTTAAATATGCTCAGGAGTATCCAAGGATTGAAGCTTAACTTTGTCAGTAGGTACGAATGCATGAGTGTGTTATTGAAGGTAAAAAGTACCAGGGAAAGTTTTGTTATATGTAATCTCAATGATGCGGTCTTTTCCAGTGCTGTCACCTTTTTTACCTCAGTGTGGTTTACTGCTTGAGAGCCACTTCTCTACTCTCTTACATCTGAAAGATCTACTTTTGGATGTGGGCAAGTATCTGCCACCACTGTGTTAAGAAATATCCTGCCCATATGCATACATACAGCCCCCTTCATGTTCACTGCTCTTTCTTCATTCCCTTTATCCCTTCTGTGTACTGTGAGGGATTGATACGGAATCTGTGCCTGTGCTGCTACCACCCCACCAGCAGAACTGGCTGGTAAATTCAATTTACACCTGTGCACAAAGCAGCTCCTAGTCTGATTTCTGAACCCAGGGCTTGTTGGCATATGCTCATTATCTGAGAAACTTCTTCCGGAAAAGTTTGAGATGACAAAGAAAGGCTCCCTTTTTAATTAACTTTTCTTACTAATATTGCACTTTAGTTAAATCCTCATCTCATGAGATTCCGATGGAGTGCTGCTGGACCTCACAGATACGATCAGTGTTGGGTAGTCGGCTGAGACATAGTGGTTCAGGATGCAGAGAGTCAGGTTCATAAACCAGTATGTGCTCCCTGCTGCAATGTTCAGAAATCCACCGCTGAGGAAAATACTTCCTATATTTATGTAGCTGCTGTCCTAGTTTTAGCTTTGAAAGTCAGGCTTATATATACAGTTGTAGTGCTCTGCATATAAATGACCTTTTCCTCTTCCAAGTGGATTAAGTTCTGTAGGGCTCAGCAAACACTATTATGTTGCTTGCTAGTTCTTTCTTTCAGTTAGTTTTGGATAAATATTAATGTAAACTTGCATAGTAAGCATAAAATCAGCCTGTTCTAGTAGTTTTTGTGCATGGTCAGAAATGCTTTTATACTGTCACTGTGTATTAACAAGGTGGTTCAAATATACACTGGCTTGCATTAAGAAAACTCTGGCTGAGACATCTTCTATTATTTTTGTAAATGCCCTGATCCAGTCTCAAGGCAATTATTAGGCTCTTTCACTAACCCAATTAAGGTGCAGCTGGGTTAGAATAGAATGAGCAACACAGCTTTAAAGTCTGAGTGCTTTGGGAATTATTCTTGAAGGTAGTAGTAAGAAGTTCAAGTTATGAACTTGGCTAAGCCATGTTCGAAATATAAACAAAATTAATACTTTACTATATATTGGTCAAGGAGGCCATTAGGTACTGAGAGAAATTTAATAGGGAAATTAAAATCTCATAAGTAATTAAACTTGGGCTATGTAGCTTTATCACATGCTACCTGAAAACTTAATTTGTACTACAGACATGCTATGCCTTACTTGAAATGTGTTTTTTCTTTTTTTTTTTTTTCCCCCTCATTTAAATATTCTCTGTGCTCGTCTTTACTTGGCTTCATATTTTCTGTAGGGTAAAATGTTAATGCACTGACATCCAGAATACCATTCCAGATGAGATGAACGAAGGCCAGAAACTACTTCAGTGCTTCACTTACTTACATAAAATCACTCGTTTTCTTAGCTCATTTACTGACACAATAGTGCAAGGGAGTTGGAGAGCCAAATCATTAGGGGATAGGAAAGGCAGCTGGTTAAACTTGCAGCCATTGCAGCAAGACAGTAGAGATAAACTGGAAGGTATATCTGCTAAACAAACCTCCCTCTTTTGTTTCTAGGTGTGGTCACTGTAAGAACTTGGCTCCAACTTGGGAGAACCTTGCCAAAGAGCAATTTCCAGGTTTGACTGATGTCAAAATAGCAGAAGTAGACTGCACTGTGGAACGTAATGTCTGCAACAGATTTTCTGTAAGTGTGAAAGATCTGAAATGAACAGGATAGTATTGTGTACTAAATGTTAGTGGCTCCAGCGTGCAGCAGAACCGCTGCTGCATTGCAGGTGCCTGCTGACAGCACAGCTGTGCTCTCCGTTAGCCAAACAAGAGGTGGTTCAGAACAGCATCTGGTGACACCGTTTCTTTCCTGGCCTGTTTGTCAGACTTGGTCATTCTCATTATTGGATAAAGCTGAAGAAGTCCCTAACTTAAGGAGCCTCCTTCTGTGAGAGCACCAAAGCAGTCTTGTAGCTGATACAAAGTTCTGTTTCTAAGGGAAATAAAAAAAAGCCTTTTGGTGCTGATAGGCAGACAACTGAAGATAGAGCTGGAGCTGCCATTCCAACAGCCTAGGTTAACATGTATTATCCCAGTCACTTATCCTAGGTCATACAGTCACAGAATGGTTTGGGTGGGAAGGGATCTTAAAGAGCACCTTGTTCCAACCACAATCCCATTGGCAGGGACACCTCCCACTAGACCAAGTTGCTCTGATTATTTATTGCACCTTTCTGTCACTGTATAATAAGCATGTCTGTTTGGACTTTGTGAATACAATAACTGGAAGTTCTGGGGTGGTGTTTGGGTTGGTTTGGCCTTTTTTTTTTATTTTCAATTAAAGTAGCTGATTGTTTTAGAGGGGTTTGGTAGCTTTTCAGAGTCAGGTAAATACAAGTGAAAGATACCAGTGAGTCCAGACATCAGTAACGAGTTTCTATTGTGTGTCTTTTGAAGGTACGTGGTTATCCTACACTTCTGCTTTTCCGAGGTGGAAAGAAAGTCAGTGAACACAATGGCACAAGAGACCTTGAATCACTGCATAGCTTTGTCTTGCGTCAGGCAAGGGATGAACTGTAATAAAAGTCTAGATGCGCCATCCCTGGCTGTCTCTGTACAGTAGTTGAGGGATTTCAATCATTGCTAATTTGAAATAGTGTATTTGGGGGGAGGAGGGGATTAGGGCTGGGGGTTTTTTTGTTTGTTTTTAGGAAACTGAATGTACTAAACATTGGTATCTTCCCTCTGTGTGTGTGTTAAAGACATACTACCCTGTGTGCAAAGGAAAAGTAACAAGTAGTTACTGTGCAAATTGAGAATATTTTCAGCATTGGTAGTATTACTGCATTTCTGCCTTCCCGCAATGAAGTGTAAATGGTTTCCTTTGAGACTAAAATACATTAAGAAAACCAACTTAAGGGCACCAGTAGAGTATTTTTGTATTCAGGTTAGATTTGGTTCAAAAGTAACCCATTACTAGAAAGGTAAAAGCTATAGCTGTGTTGAGTCACTTTTGCCTCTACAACTGTACTTATACCCTGTTTGTCTTAATGTAGTTGCTGGTTAAGAAATGGAAAGTCATGGGAGGTTGAAAATACACACACCTTTGGAAGATACCAGGCCACCCTGAGCTGGTTACCTGTTAATCCTCTCGGCATGGGAGGTCTAGCCATAATGAAAGTGATGGTACTATAACATGTGCCTGAACATTACTGATGCCATAGTGTACATGTGTCAGGTGGATTGTCATAGGCTTCTTCTGTCCAGCTCCGGAGGAGTAACTATGCTCTACTTATATAGAGCCAAAGTGAATAGGCGCTATTATAACTGCTCCGTTAATACTAAATGATCAGTTAGACTTCAGAGCTGATGACATGTGTTTCCTGCCCTCGCCTGAATCCAGACTTTGTGTTGAACTGCTCCTTATTCAGAGTACTTAGAGATACAAGTAGTACAATGTTTAATTTTTTTTCCCCATTCAGCTCTTCTACAGTAGTGTAAAATAGTTCCCCACTCTTCTTTCTTGAGCCTTAACCTTTTTTGAAGCTGTAAGCGTTGGTAAATTTGAATGCTAGGACCATGTGCTCTGTGGTGCCTTGGATTATAACATGGATCTATTCTTTGGTGCATAAGGTGTTCCATGTCAGAAATAATTGAAAGCCAAAGAATTTACACTGCAGAGACTGTCACAGTACAAAGAGAACAGCAAACCAAGGACTGAATTCTGCGTCTCGTGTGCACAGAAACTCATGGAATGAGGATGGCTAATTTGACTATACTGTCAAGATGCTGATTTTTGTCCATCATATGGAGTAGGTTGGGTATTTTTTAGAAAAAAAAAAAAAAGGCAAACCAGCAATGAACTTTTAAATCAGTGAATTTCGCCTGGTACTTCACTTCACAGTCTGTCCAGAACTTTTGTTTCTGTTCAATCTAAAAATGTGTAAGGGTGAAAAAGCCACAGTGAAAGCTAAGTGTTGTACTGGCAGATGTATTAGATCAATGTGTATACTTCTGCCTTAAAGGAAGCCTTTATTATCACATTTTTAACAACTTTCTAGTGAAGCACAATCTCATGAGTTTCTTGTATGAAATCAGAGTGGTACAATTGTTTACACTGAGATTTTTCTAAATAAAAACTTTTTAAAAAAGCAGTCTTTCTATAAATGATACAGCACAATGAATATACAGTGACAAGTGCAATAAATTATAGCTTGTATTTACAAGAAGCCTTTTAAATGCAAGAATTAGAGGTAAGTGCATTTAATACAAGTTTAATATTGATCAAAACAATTTCCTATTAGCTTCTGCTAGGCAAATGGTGGCTACACTATGAATGTATCCTTTATACCAGTTTGTTAGTTGCGTGAGTTGATTGGGGAAGGTTGGCCAAAGACTTGCCTGTGTTGTTGACATTCTGTCTTCCTGTAAATAAACTGTCCAGACAGAGAATGAATGGCCCCTAAACTTTTACGTCTGAATTACTGCTGTCAAAGCATCCCCACTTCCTTCCTGGGAAGTGGTAGAAGATGAGGCAGGTCCACGTGGGGAGTGGAAGGAAGTTGTGTAAGAACAAGTGTATGAAGTTATACTGCTCAGTCAAGTAGTGAATGGGAAAGACCAGCTGGGGCCTCACTTCACACTAGTGTTTCTAACACAGGGTGCAGCCAAGCTGCATTATGCTCTCAGGATCAGACTTACTTAAACTCTGCTTGGAGAACAAGAGAACTGAAACATTTGCCTTGGCACAATTTAAGACGATTACTGTCATAACAGATTTCAGAAGACTAACAGGCTAGGTGTAGTAACTGATCCTTCTAGACAACAGGCAATTCTTAACCTTAGGAATTTTTTGTTATCTTGTACAAGACGGATGCTCTAAGCCTGAAGTACTAACACCACTTTCTTTACTCTAGCTTCCCCTGTCTCTTCCCTCATTTTCTCCCACCTCCCTAAAAAGACTCAGTTGTTTTTTTTACCCATCTGGTAAAACTGCAGCACACATCCAAAAGCTAAACGCCAAGCTGCTATGTGTGATTAAGGCCATCCCAGACAAATAAAGCATTTGTGGGCATACTGCTGCTTTGCATACTCCAGCTCTGCAGAGCTAAGCAGCCATCGCGGTGTTGGGTTGGTCTTTAAGAAGTCCAGCAGTTTGCTCACACCCCAGCGTGTAGGCCTCACCCTCCCCACCCACCCCCTTCCTCCGACAAGGCACATACATGGTATTCTAAAAGGTGGTCCATCAGTTATTTTTCCTCCAAGGTCAGGTAGTTCATCAAAGCAGGGAAGGTGGTATGGAAGTTCATGGTAGAATCACATAGTCCGTGTGAAGACTGTTTGTCAGTGACATCCACAAGCTCTTACTACCATATTCCTGTATTTCTTCAAGATTACATTAGAATTATCATCAAAATAAAGAACAGATATGGCATTTAGTTTGGTAGGTGCACAGCATGGTTTGGGAACATAATCAGGATTCATAAGATGAACCTGTTGCCAAAGAGAAAACACAAGTGAGACAATGGTAACTTGTTTACAAATTCACCTATTGTTTTGGCATCAAGCTTTTTGGAGCCTTACCAGAGTTTGTACAATGGCATGATTGGTTGCGTTCATATGGGCGTTGAGTGGGAACGAGCACTCCCCATCACAGTAGTTGGCTGCGTAGCCCTTTGGAGCGATTATCCAGTCCTTTTTAGGAAACAAACAGAACGTGATTCAAATTAAAGAGTTGCCAACTTGTACAGACAACTGCATGCAATTAAGAGCAGCTGAAAATTTTCCACTAACTTTTTTCTTGAGGGTGAAAATGTGTTTTCACTGAAGCTGTTAGGGTTTGGGTTTGGGTTTTTTTTGTGAGCCATCACTTTTCCATGGACACACTGATTTTAATGTCCAAAGAATGGTGCATGTCTACGCACAGCTTAACGGCCATGAACTAAGAATTTTATTCCTAAAACTCTTGCTGGGTTGCCTCGTGGGGATTGTGGTTTGGATGCTTTTATTTTCCAGTATTTCCTCGTTAGGCTTTTGTGCTGAACTACCTTTCCTAGACTGAGTCACTGCCTCAGTTGGTGTCCCCTCCTGGAGAAAGTCATGTAGGTGCATCTGTGTGTGCACACACGCACAGTTCAACCAGGGAGCTCCGGAATGAGAATACAAAACACTGGTGCAGTGCCTCACAGATACACTACCTTATATGCTCTTATACAGGGAGACTAGTCTGCTAAGGTGGGAAGTAGTAGCTCCGTAACAGCTTCTCCACCTCTATTAGTCTCCTAAAGGAGACAGAGAACAGCCAGCCTGCACTGCGTGTGCAAGCAGGTGGCCCCAGTGGCAATCTATGCCGTGCTATGGAAGAAGATGACTCCTCACCAAGGGGATAATAAAATAATTACAGCTTCTCTGCGGCTGACATGAAAGGGCCAAAGGTAAATTAAAAGCGTCACCAATTCTCAGGAGACATTTCACCTCCCTTGGTGTCAGGCTCTGCAGAAGGATGCACTGGTACACTTCACATGCACGTAATTCTTAGACGATTTCCCCTTTCCGTGACAACAGTTACCTGGGTTAGCCAACAGTTGGCTACAGCAGGCCTGAGCAGCCAGAGACTTGCTGCAGCTTTGCTAGCCATGTCTGCTAGTTGATTGCTAACATGAGAATAGCTGGGCATAGCAAAACCACCCCTTCACTTTTCTGTACTAGCTGACCCATAATTTGCACCGGGTAAACCGAGCTGCTTTTCATAAGACAGTGACTCTCCTACTACAGCAGCCAGTACCGACCATTGAATTAAATTTGAGGCTTAATGCAGTATAAGGGTAAGGGAAGTGCTCTGCTAAAAAATTTGAAGGAGAGCAGTGCCCAGCAACTGCAGGGGCCCACTGCCCTGACTCCATCATCTCCCTACAATAAGTAGGCTCTGGATTCCAACTCCTGCTGCTATGTGGCCTTCCTTCGGCAGCATCTTACCTTTCTGCAACTAGAAAAGTGAAGGCAGTGCCTTCTAGACCATGAACTTCCCAACTGGAACACACTTCCTACCTGGAAGGAGGGCAAGCGAGCTAGGGAGGAGGTGGAAAGACTGTGCACAAGTAAAAAGAAAAGCCACTAACAAGTAATGGGAACGGAGTCAGTGTGCAGCCGCGTTTGTGGCTAGTGGGCTGGAGCTGACATAAGCTACAAAAAAATGTTGCTGTCCCATTAACTGGGAGAGGATTTTCATGTGTTGGGTATTACAGAAGCAGCAGGGGTAGCTCTGGCATCCTGAATTATAATCTGGTAAAAACATTAGATAATACAAACGGGACCTCCCTCACAAAAGTGCTGAATGAAAGAATTTCAAAAAATAAATAAATTAAAAAGAGTCCATGAGGGCATTCTTTGAAACGTGATGTTTGCTGACACTCTATAAATAATGGTCCTAAATAACTTACTCCAAACAACTCCCTGGCCTCACTCATGGTGTTGCAACTAAACCCAGTCTTCAGTCCACCTACCGCAGCCAGTGCTAATTGTGGGGTGGGGGGTGAAGGATTTCAACACAATGGCTGAGGTTAAAATTAGGCTGATCACTAGAAAAAACTTGATTTGTTTAAAATCACTGCTTAACATCAGATTTTTTTTCTTTTATCATTAGAGGCACACGGATATGAGCCCTTGCCCGTACTGTGACTCCCATGAGTGACAGAGAATGACGGTATATTTGAATCTCATAAAGTATCAAGCTTCCTCTGGATCTTATCAAATGTCACGACTATCAATATTTATTTGCCCTTCCTTGTGACTGGTTTTAGTGAGGAGGCACAAGGGACATTTTAAAGCATAATGGCAGCCTCGAGTGGAATTACCGTGACACTGTTTAGATAACATTTCATAACAAAATGTCTAGTTTACCCAGAGAGAAACATCACCCACCTGCCATCCCAAGTCTTGGAAGCTAACGTAAAGCTCGTGCTTTCTGCATGCTGTTTTTAAGTCACTGCTGTTGTAATCTGTTAAAAGAAAAAGAACAAAACAGGAATTTAGAAAGTAAACCAGGCAGAGCATTGCTGGAGGGCACAGCTGGCCAGATGTGTCCATGCTGTGGGCTCAGCAGTGAGAAACAGCAGCTCCCTCAGCAGCCAAAAGGATGAGGGTGTTGAGGGACATCAAGAGCAGGGCCGAAGTTTTTAAGATGCCTGTGGGAATGGAGGCACCCAAGTAACAGTGACTTGCTTATAATTTCTTCAGCTGCCTTCAATAACTCGACAAACAGTGCTTGTAAAACACCTTCAGCAAAATGACTTCTTAAATCTACTCCTTCAGTCAGGCACAGGCGACATCCCTGCTGGGTGCTCAAAATCACCCCACTTCCACAGCCGTGGTTTCCAATGTGTGCCACCCTAGCTGGTAAGCTCAAAAGGCACATACTTACTGAGAGAATTACAACTCTGGGAAGGTTAATCATCACCTTGTGCCCCTGTATTGGTCCTTAAACAGCTAAGATGTCCCATAGGCAGAGAAGCCATGTCCCCGTCCCTCTCTGTGCCTTACCCCCAGCCTGCCCTGGACATCACACATGGCTCCATGTACCACCACCGCTTTTGGACCTTCACAAGCCATGCTCTGAAAGACAAGTTTCTCCTTCCCATAACCTGCTTATCTGCAGATGACACAGGATTTGATGCACTCTCAGCATTAACTTGCTCCTTAGTGCCAGTACTGCACAGAAAAGTGGGGGCACAGGGTGCAGAGCCCTGACCTTTGACTTGCCCCTTGCCGTGGCACAATGTATGAGGATAGTTCAACCATGCAGGAGCTGCTCCCGATGGCCCTACAAAGTGTAGCTTTTGACAGCGAGTGGAATTTCCCATTTACATTTGGAATGAGAGGCGGCTCCGCACGCGAACACCTGGAACCGCGGAGGAGCTGAGCCGTGACAGAGAGGCCTTTCACCCCTGGGTGGCTGCACACATCCAGCCTTGACAGGCGGTGACTGACTCTGTCACGCCTCAGGGGGCTGCCAGACCTTAGTGCAGCAGCCACAGAAACCACCTCTGCAGTGGGGTGCCTTGGCCACCGAACCTTGGCTGCCGAACCCGAGCTTCGCACCCATGGGAAGCACGAGAGGAAGAAACGGCAGCAAATTCGGCTGAGCAGCGTGGCAGCCCCAATCCCCAGCCATGCGGTGACACGTGTGCGCTCATCCCAGAGCTGGACCCAGACTGGCCATGTTCTCCTCCAGTGCCTTACCCACAGGGGCCTCCTCTCCTCTCACACGCCTCATTTGCAAGTAAAGGCGTTTCCGTCAGCAGGCAGATGCCACATGCTGATGCGCCTGCATCCCGCTGTCCTGAGCCTTTCAGCTATCCACCCCCCCAGCACCCCTAACGCGGCTTGAAAGGGCACCCTCCCAGCGTAGCTTTTCCCAGATGCAGCAGCTGGGATAGAAAAATATTTTTAGTGACTTTTTCCTTGGCTCTGAATAAGCCTTTCTTTTATTTCCCTCCACCACCACCCCCAAAGTTTGGGAACTACAAATGCAAATATTTATTCAAAGGAAAAACTATAATACTAAAAGCACATCCAACTGACATTAAGGGCAGCACAGCATTACAGCTGGGTACAGTTAACACTGAGGTCTGAAAAAAACCCTACACCTCAAACCCAGCCTCCAAACCACCAAAGATTAGAGAGTTGTTTTTAGAAGCAGTTTGGGTTTTAAAGTGTAAGGATTGCATTTCAGACTTTCAATAGCTTCGCTTCAATCACGGATTTAATCAGGTGAGCAGAGCTGGTTAACAGCCCGCTGCAGCACAAACATTCGCTCTTTCAGGAGCACTCGGTAGCAAGGACAGGGGTGAGTCTTTCTACTCAAGCTTTCTATTTTCAAACCAGACATACCCAGCAGAAACCAGGGTGTGGTGGGTTTTTTCAGATGAAGCTTTTCAGTGCCTGGCTCAGGCCAGGAGAAAATTTCTAGCGTGAGATGTTTCTAAATGATCTGGTCATAACGAGGGGAAAAAAAATGAGCAGAAGATACTTCTAGTGGTCAAAGGCTTTCATTTAAGTACCCAAAAACCACAATTTCATTGTTCTTCAATGAGAAATGTGTAGTTTTCTTAGGGGAAAACCATCTGTATTTGATGGGGAGTTACAGTGGAGTTGATCTATTCACAACTGAGTGGGCAGAACGATGCTACATTCCAAATCCAGCTACACCTTACCCAGATCAGCTACAGGATAAGGGAGAAGGCAAGGGAGGCAGAGAAAACAGGAGTGGGCAGGAAGGCTTATGAGCAATCACAAGTTTAAGAAAACACAGGGAGCGGGGGAAAGAGCTGCTTAACAAGCTACACGAACCAGAACATGTTATGAACATGTCCTCTCTCACACTGCCTGAAACTGGCCCCCAAAAATCGGCTCAGCTCACTAGCTGGAGTCACCTGACTCACACTCTGCACTGAGGGCTGAATAGTCCATCCAAAGTAGACACAGAGCTCTACCTCCTCACAGGCTGGGATCTATCTGCTTGGGGAGCAGCTCTGTGGAAAGGGACCTGGGGGTCCTGCTGGACAACAAGCTCAATGTGAGTGAACAGTGGGCTGCTGTGATGACGAAAGCCAACAGGATGCCGGGTTGCATCAACAAGGGCATCACCAGCAGAGATGAAGAAGTCATCATCCCACTCAGTGCTTGTCAGGTCACACGTGGAATACTGTGTTCAGTTTTGGTCCTCACTATGCAAAAAAGATGTGGACAGGCTGGAGAGGGTCCAGAGATGGGCTACAAAGATGATCAAAGGACTGGGAAGCCTTGTAAGGAAAGGCTGAGAGAGCTGGGTTTATTCAGCCTTGAGAAAAGAAGGTTCAAGGGAGTACTTACCACCATGTTCTAGTGGCTACAAAGAAGACTGAGACTCCCTTTTTACAAGGAGTCATACAGACAAGACAAGGGGAGATTCCAATTGCACACGAGAGGAAAATTTTTCACAGTGAGAATAATCAGCCATTGGAATAATCTCTCAAGGGAGGTAGTGGATTCCCCAGCATTAGACCCTTTTAAGATTCAGGTGAACAGAGTGCTGGGCCATCCTGTCTAGACTGTGCTTTTGCCAAGAAAGGTTGGTCCCTTCCAACCTGGTATTCTATGAGTCTCACTTGCCCAAACTCAAGTTTTTGCTTTCTTAAACGTCAACATACTAAATATATCCCCTCTCCTGGGATTTGCACGGTCCCCTGTTTAACCCTCACCCCAAGCTCCTCTGCCCTCTCTTCTTGTTACATTTACCTACCAGGTCCACTTTATGGAATCTATTTTAGCTGAACTTAGGGATGTTACAAACCTTTAATCAACCCTTAGCACTGGCTTTCTGAATTGGGGAAAAAAATGCAGCAATATAGATGCACATAATAGTGATCCATTTCACATGGTTTGGGGTTCCGCATATGCCCTACAGCCATGCATGCTGGACATACATCCAGGTTGAGAAAAGAAGAATCCACACAGTAAAGGGTTTCTGGTGGTGAGATAAAGCTCACTGAGCTACTGAAGTTGGCCTCCACAACACATTTTCCCCAGAGCCTAGCAGTATCAGCTACCCCAGTCCAGCATGCTCACCTGTTTTAGCCCAACTTGCCATTTGAGGTGGCCCACAGTGGAAGATCCAGCTGCCAAGAAGCAACAGGGTACGTGCCCCTTCCTGCCAGCCCTGCAGCAGGAAGCCACAAGGGCTGGGAGGAGGCAGCCTGCAGTTGGGGGTCACTGCAAATAGCTGCCACGGGCCCGGCTTACATTGCCATGATACGATTTGCAAGGATTGCTTGCCAGAGCTCTTCAAAATCACTATGAGTTTAGGGAGCTCCTATAGGCTCATTGTGGATTTAGCAAAATCATGTCTTTTTTTCCCCCTGAATGTACCAATTCAGAAACACTAGCTTGGCATTTACAAGGAACTGCATTTAATCATACTGCAAACTATTTTGTCTAAAACAGAGATTTAAAAAAAAACCCAACCCCCTAGTTCTGCACTTAAAAATAACTTCCAGGGCAGCACAGTTAAAACAGCACAGTTAAGATGGCTTGTTTCTGTGGCTTGTTTGCACTGAACGTTGTCTGCCTTAACCAGAACTCAAGTCTGACTTTCTGCAAGCACAGATGTTTCTCTTAAGGCTGGACACTGGCATGTGTGTTGCTGAAAGGGGAGAGAGAATAGCCTGACTTAATGGTCTTCCTCCTACAGATACTTATGCACCCACCTTAGATTTCCTATATCCTCTCCCACGTTAAGTGCTGGCAAAGAATATATAAATATTTACTGAGGTCGATCCGTCTGAGAACACCCTTGCTGCTCCCAAGGTGCAAGCTTACCAAATTCCACACAGTAATTAATTGCTTCTGTGATTCAAAATAGCTTTGACAGAGGTCTCCAAGGCCAGCCCCTTCTTCTTGGTGTTTGACTTTGGTGATTTGTCCGGATAAAGCTGGTGTAAACTGATCACGCAGTTAATAACAGCCCACTTTCACATGAAAGTGATCTGCTTGGGTGGGAAGAAGGGAGATGTCGGGCTGATGTGGACCTGCACGTGAAGCCACATACAGAAATGCCGGCCACACCGCTCCAGTTTGCATCTGAGCACTCTACTAAAGGGAAGATTGGCTGCAAGATAATGATGTTTGTTAACAAGACCCTTGCCATCGTGGAAGCATTTGGCCTTATTTGCCTTCACTGTTTGTGCATGCTGCCCTTTGCGGTATTTGGTTTCCCATGCGTGTGGGGGAATCTGCCTGGTGCTGTGCATGTCTGCTGGAAGGAAAGGCCACTTGGAGAGCCTCTTCATTTCTCATGGAGCACCTCACGCCAGTTCCAGAGGCGATGGGGTGGCTAAAGAGAAGGACCCAAAAAGGGGTATTGCATGAGTTTCACTCAGAGCAGCCAGTGCAGCCCAAGTCAGATGCTTAAATGTGACTCTCTCCGTAAGGAGGGGCTGATGGGAAGGGATGTGCCTGAAGGCTGGCAGAAGAGAAGGGTTATAGCCACTGGGCAGAGACAGCCCCGTACAGAAAATGTAACTCATGAAGGGGCTGGCTGTACGGTAGCGCAGTCCTTAAGCTCGAGGTTCACTGTCTGTTACGCTGAACAGTCCCTAGCTCTTCACGTTAAGTAGAGGGGCAGCCCTGGAGTCTGGGAGCACAAGCTAAACCCACCACAAGACACAGCTGAGCATGGACCTCCAGGTCTTACAGACAACAGCAGAGAAACACCTGCGTGCTCCTCCCATCCACCTTGTTCCTCCATGTCCTGGGCTAGAACTGGCATATGGTTTTCCACCTCAACAGATGAAAATACTTCTTATTCTTTCCATTCATCCTCCTTCTGCAAAAGAACAGAGCTTGGCTCCAGAAGTGCACTGATGCAGGACTCTCTGTCAAAGCAGTTTATAACCATGGGGGTTACTCAGTTCTGCTTTATATAAGCCAGTCATAATTACATGTTTATAATACAGAGAAATGAGCTTCCTTGGCGAAAAAATACAGACCATTGAGATTCTTATGCCACAGCTATAACCTTAGTGCTGAGCACTTGGTACTGACTGCAGGACAACAACTGCACATCAAAGGGAGAACAGTAGGGTCCCAATTCCACATGTAGCAGCATAGCTTCAGATAACCATGAACCCCCTCAACTCACCAGATCCAGTACCAGCCCAGCAGCATACTTCACGCACTCCAAACTGCAGGACTTGAAATGCTTTCCATATTTAGATTGTAAATGAGGCTTTTTTAAACATACTACTGGAGCCCAACTCACATCATCTTTTGGGAAAGGGGTTAATTTTTGGACTGAAGAAAGCAAGCCCTTTGTATTCACCAACGTAGAGAAAGGAAGGTTCAACCTACAAAAAAACCATCAACACCAGCCTGATGCCCTGCTCTCCAGGAGAAAAACTGCCCTCAACCCCTGATAAGCAGAGGCAATCCTGGGTCAGGGAAGAGCATAGACCAAAATCTGACAGGATGTAAGATACAGAGAGAGAGCAAGATGTGCAGGCAGACAGATGGACAGGAAGGGACCACAGCATCCCAGTTCTGCACCTGCTTTGGGTCCAGATGCATCAGGGCACCTTTAGAAGAGCAAGGCAGCCTTCAGGGTAACATCCCTGGGCTCACCTACTGCTTCATTCTGGGGCGAACACTTCCCCAGCCCTGCCACGCATCATCAGGGCATGGATGTAGAAACTCACACAACTAAAAACCAAAAAACCCCTGTGATCTCTTTAACACTAAAAACATGCATCAGTCATTGGTGCCTCTTGAGCTATGAAATCAACCACTTCTTAAGGAGAACAGTGTCTAAGAGTGTCACACTTAGAAAGGAAAATAAGCTGATGTAGTCTCTGTTCCAAACACAGAAACCAACCAAACATACATCTGAACTTTAAATTCCCCTCCTTTCCCCCGCCTTAAATCCACAGAGGCTCAACTATACCTTGTTGACTACTGAACTGCCAAGTTTCAGGTTTTAAATTAAAGCTGGCTTTGAGCTGGAAGAGCTCAAAAAAGCCCTTGAGACCACAGAATGACCAGCTATTTTTTCCCTTTTTGTCATTTTATAATTTTATGACCTAGTGTGTGGTGTAGTCAAGAAAGCAGCGATGTAAAAATGACCCCTTTTGCCCAATATATCTGCTCCCTCTGGAGCTTTGAGTCACATTGCCTGATTTAATGGCAGTGAAAATTTGTTTTTAGCACTGTGAAGCTTGTGACACTAGGGAGAGAAATTTGGGGCTTATCCTGAGTGCTACCAGTGCCACAAAACAGCAATGCAGCAAGTAACTTTCCCAAAATTCTGCAAATGCATTAAAATACTGGCTCTTGTGATGGCAGGAGTGCAGCAGCCAAGCCCACCTGAGTGGGAGAACTGTATGCTGCCTGCATAATGACTCGGCTTATTGCTTTTATAACACCCAGATGAATAAACTACCTATGCCCCTGGCAAGCCCACCACATGAAAGTAACCCAGTGAACAGCCTTGATGCCTGCTTTTAGAACTGCAGCTTGGAGACCCAAGGAAAACCAGGACCAAAGTGTGTCCCAGCAACTGGGACTGATGGACGGCTCCTGGCTGCGGGACTGCAGAGGGCTCTCACGCCAGACTAGATGATAACTCCTCCAGCAGTGCCATGCTGGCACTGGCCAGCCTCCCCTGAGGAGGTCAGGCTGCAGGACCGAGTCACCTCATCCTGCTCTTAAAATCCATGAAGTGACATTTTACACCAGGCCAAGCCCAGCACCTGCATGACATGGCATGGGAACCCATGGCCATGCTCCAGCATGCACCATGAGGACATGCAACAGCCACTAGTGGCCAACTGCTGCTGGCACACACTAGCCCAAAGGGCAAGTCCATCACCACACTGGGCTGGGCAATAGGACTGCACTGGCAATCAGCCATGCCCAAAGCCTGGCTGCCAGCCCTTGAGGAGTTCCTAATCTGTCTCTGGCTCCCTGCAGGCTCCCAGTGCCACAGCCAACACAAGGCCACCTCGGATGCAGCATGGCTCACCCACAACCCAAGGCAGGCAAGAGCAGGGGACAGCCTACTGATTCATGCTGCCTAACTTTTGGCAGTGCTGGCTCATCTCTCTGTGCCGTGTTTGGAGACAGGCTGAAAAATAGAGCCACCCCTCTTCCTTGGGGTATAGTCATTTCTAGACACGGGAAAAGCAGGGATCCTACTGGAAATGAAGGGGGCAGCATAAGCAAATTAATCAAGTAACTTGGAACAGGCTGAAATGTTTGAGCGGAAAGAAGGTATTCAGTGAACGAAGGACTTGCAGCACTGATGCAGGGCAGAGTGGCTAGAAAACAGCCAAGACTTAGAAGACAGGACACTCAATTTTTGCCAAAATTTCAGAGTTACTGTATTGTCCCACCAGCCGGCAACAGCACCCACAAGGCTGCTGTACAACACCTGCAACATGCAACATTTCCCCTGCAAACAAGCAATCCTCTTTGCCTGCCTGAAAATGCATCGCACCTAGTATACAATGCTAGGCAAATGCTGTGTAACAAGCAACCTACAAGCACAAGAGTCAGGGTTAAAACACCTAACCCCCATTAATTCAATGGCCACAACTTCAAATGGGGGTCTGGACTCCACCCTGGATTCAAGAGGTCTCTTGTAAGTCTTATTTTAAATGAGACCCCCTCTTCCATTTCCTTGCAGATACAACCCCAAATTCATCCCACCTTACAGACCCCTTCTTGCTTCTGCACTCAGAGCAAATAGAAACGTTACAAGAAGTCATCCCAGCTTGTGCTGGATGATTACCTGTGACAGTAGACACCCTGGAAACATCCTGAGCCTGGGTGGAGCGGTTTCGACTCTGTTGCCGGCGCCTGCTCGTTGCTGACCTTGTGGTCCGTACGTGAACTTCACTCACTTTGAAGAAGGCCACCATGAAAGGCTGTTTGTCATAAGGGCCATCTCGCCCTATAAGGCCTGCTTCTCTAGGATTTACACTGAAACCTTCAAACCAAACAGAAAAGGGAGTGTTAGACAAACAGTGCAGTTGGATTGTTCCTTCCAGCATCTTGGCATCCCCATAAGCAGCATTTCCTTTCTTCTTGCTCACACTTCTCTTTTTTAATCACTAAACACTCCCTTCCTGCTACGTGACCTACAGACATTTTTACAACAGTACCCCATCCGTCCTGGATGAGGGGCTCCACCACAGCACCTGGGTCTTTGGTACCCCTATGGCATCTCTGCTTCAGTTCAGGTACTGGAGAGGTATATGGATAGTTAGATATATAAAACACAAAGCCCAGACATATCATCAAATTAGTTCTGCTGCCCATGAAATATGAGAATCAGAGATGGGATTAGGAGAGAGCAGAGGGCAAAGAGATGGGGCACTTTTGTCAGGAGCACAGCGATGGGCTCTTAGCCCATTTGGGAAGGTGGAAGCTGGCACTAACATTTCCTCAAGGAGAACCATGGATAGCTCATCTGGTCTCACTTAACCTCGTATGTGTATCAAACTCCAGCATGTAGCAATAGGAAGAAAACATAAGGTTGGAGACAGGTTCCTACAGAGGACAGATGTCACAGTCATCTTTTCAGTCACTTTCTGCTCATCTAGATCCTATCCTTCCCCACTGCTTACCTTCCAACGCTCAATTTCATGCACTTTTGCAGTCTCTTCTTTCCTTTTCTACCTTTCAAAGTTTCTGTGGACTGAGAAATGCTATCATTGCAGCCACCCTCAGAGGAAACAGCTCCCCACAGTGACTGCATTTGCTTCTCCAGTGCAGGGCTCCCACCTCAAGTTTGATGAGATCCGAGCAGTGACAGCAGCCGCAGCAGCCAGGAGGGTGGCCATAATCCCACATGGGGACGTGCATACCCACATCCCTGCTCACTTCTCTTCCTCTCGCCCCTAAGCCTCACCCCACTGGGATCCCAGCTTCATGCCCCCTTCCACCTCCAACCCAGGAATTGGGGCCCTGCCCCAGCCCACTTCCAGTACTGTTCAGAGACACCTCACCTCACTCATGAGGAAAGACATCTCCATCATGGGACAGCCAAGAACTGACAGCCCTCTATCTGTGTTCTCAGATCGTTGCTCATGTTGTTAGCTACGGCTGCCTATAAAGGCAGGGTGCTCACCCCCATATCACAGATGAACTCTGCTAGCACCACTTCTTGCCAACAGATAAGCAAGATGTTAGACATCATCCAAGAGACTGGTGAAGTGACTTGCATTAACTTGCCCATAACCTACCATCCCGAGTCACCACGCTCAGCTGCAGTCCCATGTTGTGCTGAGGGTTCATCACCCACATGTTACTGGTGGCGGTGACATCAAACTCCAGCCAGCCCTCTTCTGAGGCCCACACCACCCGTGTGTCCAGCAGGAACAGGTCAGAGGCCCTGCAGAGTAGAAGCACAATGACAAGATTGTGATACCTGGGATTTTCTCTCCTGGCTTTAGCTGTTACAGAAAGAAAACCTGAAATCATTAAAAGTGATATTAATAGCTAGGAAAAAACACCTAAAATCTGCCTTTCTGTATCTAGAATTTTGCCAGGAGATGCACATGCTTGTGCAAGTGAAATTCAGGATTACAAAGGTTTTTCACTGATTTCTAGGGTGGAAGAAAGCAATCCTGCTCCTCAGATCTGTCCAATTCTCCACCAGCAAGGGATTAGTAAGGTACTCTTCTTCTTGAAGAGTATAATGCTAGCCCAGTAGGACAGTGGTCAAACTAATAGCATTTCCAGGCATTTAATGGCTTTTGTCAAAGGTGTTTCATGGTTTCAGCCCACTTTACAAAATACAGACCCACCACAACTGACGAAAATAAAAAGTAAAAATCAACTACCAGACCAAGCATCAAGCAGTGACAGAAAATGAACCTCTAAAGGTGACTAGAAAGACATTATTCCAAAGCTTATCAACAGGGATTACAGCACCTTGTTCCCAGGCTGTTAGTACTGGGTCTCCTTCATGGACTTCTCCTTCAAATGCTATCAAGTCTCTCTATATATTTTTTTTGCAGTATCAAATGCCCATCAAACCTCAATGAAATGAGTTCAATGAAATCAGCTGGAGAAGCACCCAAGAAACACCATGTACATTTTCTCACTATATTATAGGCATAACCTTCCTGTGCAGGAGAACTACAATTCCTATCCTTAACCTGTGGCCATCGCCACAAAATGGATACTGGGTGACAATCCCATCTTCACTTCTCCTCCTCCCCGGATTCCTTTTTTCTAACAATAACTTCATGAAAATAAGAAAACAGGGTACCTGTCCCTTCCACCCATCAAAGGTTAACTTCAGAAAAAAACCCAACATTTTGGTTGAGTTATGTTTTATTTTTGGCCAACTGCTATGTCATACTGCCCAGCAGCTTGGTTTGCATGAGATCACACATGGAAAAATAAGCACTTAAGTATATTAGGGCTCCTAGTGCAGCTATTTTTACAGCATAGAGGCTTTCCTCCGCCTCGCTGGTAGCCGCACACTCTGTGGTTGACTCAGCAGCCTTTCCCACAGGGGTCTTTGCCATGGCTCCTCCAATGGGAAGAGGGTTCAGGAACGACTCTGACCTTCACCTCCAACAGCGGTGAGTGGCTGGGGCTGGCCAGCTGCTACATGTTTTGGAAACCTTAAGGTTGAAAGACTCGGGCTTTCCCAGGCAGGGTATATAAACTGAAGTGTTGCTTAAAGGAGATCACAAACAGCAGCTGCAGCTGAGACCACTCTTACCCTGTCCAGGTTTAAGAGAGGAATGAACTGCTAGGTCATTCCCACCTCTGAATACAGCTTACGCACTGGTCCTCTCCAATGCTTGAAATGGACTATATCCAAAAAGGGTTTTTCCTAGCACCTGTTCTGACATTCCCCCTCACACCAATTGCTTTCTGATCTCCTGTCCTACCTCCACTCCTTTAAGCGCCATTTTCTCCCCGGCGCTCACCCACTCCAGACAATGCCTGCTAGAGCCTCCAGACTAGAGCCTCCAGACTAGAGGAACTTTGGCGTTACATCCCCCAAAACCAAACATGTCTGGCTGGAGAGCTGCTGGGAACTCTGCAAGAGCAAACCCTCATGAACGCTCAGCCACATGGGAGTAGTCAGATCTTCAAAAACATGAAGGGGAGGCTCAGAGTTTACGTTCCCCATTGCCTTGCACTTTGGGAAGACACTTAGACATCAGAGAACTGTAAAGCCTGAAAGCACCATATGGCATCATCTAGCATATTCCCCTAAATTCCAGACAGGATCAACTACAGCCACATCACTCCTGACAGATGTTTGCCTGACATGATCTTACAGATTTCCAGCCTCAGGAACTCAACCACCTTTCCAGGTAATTGAATGGGTTTCACTTGATCTCACCGTACAGTGGAAGGATAAACTTGATGCATCTCACAGACTATGCTTCTACTCATACATGTCAGAATATGATTTTGGCTTCTTCACAGAACTCACACTGTTAACTGATGTTCATCTTGTGATCCACTATAATCCTTAGATGCATGCCGCTGAACCACACAGGACCCAGTCACTTCCTAGGGTGTATTTACATCACTGATTTTTCAGGTTCAAATGTAATTCTTCTTTCTACCAAATCACATTTTCCCCCCTCCTAGACTGAACCTCCATCATTATTAGATTACTTAAAATTTGGACTTGCCCTACCTTAGTGTCCTCCACAAAAGTAATAAGCAATGGTACAATTCTACCAAATAAGAATGCTACACTTTAGCCCAGTATGTCACTCTCCTTTTGGAAAGATTTCAATTCCTTTGTAAAATGCAGAAAAATGGACAACTGGGCTCTCCAATCCAGTCAACTCTTTGCAAAAAGTCTCAGGACTTGTTTTCAATCAGTTATTCAACTGACTTCTGCATTATTTGATTGGATGAAGCCAACACTGAAGGTTCACCCTACAGGTATTGTGGGTCATAGTAGTAGTGCTAGCAGGTAACATTTCTGCTTAAGCCTGCTTCCAATTAATGTTTGTCACCCAAACTTCACCAGGCTACACAAAATTGCATATAATTTCTTACTAGTTTGTTTTATGGCATCAACGTTTTAAAAAAGTAGTCACTCACCTATTTCCAACAGAATTAGGGAAAAAAAGAAAACTACTCATATACATAAAAAAGAATTCCAGCTCTTTAACTGATAGTTTTTAACCACTCCTTTGTATTTTTCAGAATACAAATGTTATATGTCCTTCCTCCTTTAAGAAAATCACCTCAGTTTTGACCAAGCAGAACAACTTGAAAATTGCTGCCCACACAGGCTCAACAGAGATTCAGAGTTTAGCATCCTCTGACGCTAAAAATCCTCTGGACTTTTTGTATGCAGGGAACATACTTACCCCTCTTTTCTCCTTGATAAACCAGATACCACATATCACCTGATAGCAATCTGCTCTTCCCTACAGCCACATAGCTGAGAAGCAATGTCCTTACTACTCCTGCAAAAAGGCTGTACAATGTCTGATCTTGGAACAGAGACTGGGACATCTCCCATGCTGGCCCAGGGTGGAAGGGAAAGAATACCTCTTTAGATGGGAAGAGTGAAGGATTCACTACAGTGGTGGGGGACACATGGACATGCAAGGACTGGATGGAGAGACCTTGGATAAAAGGAAAAAGTCTTCAGAGAAAAGAGAGTAGGAAGTACCTATGGCCACCAAACCTATGTGAATCAGGCCCATTACTCCTGACTCACCATCCCTCTGCTTCTAGAAGCAGTTGGGAAACTACTGGAATCTTCCTGCACTGATGGCTCAGAGGGCTACAACCTGCTACGGCTGTCATTTGCAGCAACACAGCTGCCAACAAACATAGTGACAGATGTCAGTGATGTCAATCTCACACTTCCAGTCTTGTCCCAATGTTCACAACTGGATTTTTCTTCCCCTCTCCAGTTCTGCTTTCTGAAGACCATGGAAAACACATTTATTCCATTCCTCTCCCATAGGGCTGTGCAAGAAAGGTGGAAAGCATAACAAATAAAGCTGCTACATAGCCTTATTGCCACTCTGGATGCTGGACTGTTGGGTAATTTTGGCAAAGACCATTTTTGCCATGGGCATTTGCTTAGCAGGCAAACAGCAGAGACAGACGGCCCTCACTGGTATATGCTTCAGTTTCTCATCTACATGATGAGAACACCACCACTAGCTTTGCCTTATAGCCATGTCAAAAAAAGAAATAGTTTAGGAAGCTGTAAGATACCATGCTGGAGAGTGCTACACACAAGTAGATGCAAGCCCATAGTCAAAGCAAAATCAAAAGAGTGGACAAGAAGGTGGGAAACGGATCATATACTGTGCAAGTTGCATCCAACAAAGTATTGAATTTCTAGTCATTAAATGATGACATTGATCCTGTGCAGTGAGGCAGGCAGCAGCCTTCCAAGCAAAAACACACAACCGTGTACATGGTCACATTAATGGAAGGATATTCAAAAACTTCAGCACTTGAGAATAACAGAGGCAAGACGAGACCTAAGGGAAATGGGAAGGGAGCAAGAAGAATGGGAAAAACTAGAAAAAGAAAGGCCATGAGCCAGCATTGTTGAGCAAAGAGGAGGGAATACCTGCTCTCAACACAGGCTGAAGAATGCAGAGTCAGCCCAGAGGTTTAATGCCCAAGCAACCCCACGTGTCAAAGGACACCACAGGACCTCTGGCACCTGCATAGCAGGAAATTCAGTGTACAGAAGATGAACTTCATCACCAAATCAGGCAGCTTTTTAACATCCTTTCTGTCTAAACCTGCCTCTGGGGTTTTAGACATCTACTATCATCTCATTGTCACTATGGTGCCTGACAGTCTCATCTTTACTTTTGCTGTGCTTAACCATCTGGATGAGTTCAGTTAGTTATTTTAATAATAAAGGTGCTGCAGGCAGAATAAGTATTAACCTTAGATTATTAATGAAAAGCAAGCGAATGGAAGAAACCAAGCCAAGGACCTGAAACAACTTTCCCGAGATAAGAGAGGACATTAAATGGGAAGATGCAAATTAGAGATTCCCAGCTCAAAGCAGGAGGTCTTTGTTCTGGAACAAGACCCTAAAGTATGGTCTGAAGTCCCAAGAAATAAATGGAAGTGTTTCCATGGCCTTCAGAGGACTCTGGAGGAGGATGGAGAAGCAAAGGTCAACAGAGCAATCACAAGTGGCTGCAATAAACAGAAAGAAGTACACAGTTTACCGGAGAAATATGGCCTGTATAATTCAGAAGGCAGGATTTAGCTCCAGTGTCCTCAGAGAGCGAGCTGATCTTCAGATATAAATATCAAATATAGCTACTATTCTTAACACTGGCATCCCAACCATGTACCCAGGGCATTTATAGGAGAAACAGCTTGCATTTAACTTCAGTGCTTTTCCCCCTC